AGGGATGGATTCAGGGTAAGCATGTGCCATTATCATAGGACCTAGGATGTATGTGAGTAGGATCCAGAAGTGTTCAGCCTGTGAAGACCTTTTGCTTGGGCCTTTCTGATATCACAGTGAGAACTCATAAGGAAATGATATGACCTCTTTTGCCCCCATTCTGTTGCCATAGTGATGGCTCATAGCCTCAGGGCCATTTATAGCCCAATTAATTTGGCAGATGGCTAGTGAACTCAAGGTCTTATCCAGTAGTCATAGGTCTTGGAAGAAAGGAACATTTATTGAATCCTTAATCTGTGCCAAGATTTCCACTTTAATACTACAAAGATCCTAAAAAATAGGTTGTAGTTTCCCATTTTATAGATGACTAAACTGGTTAGAGAATTTTCCTGATTGGCTCAGAATCACATAGTCAGCAAATGGCAAGGCTAGGCTCTCTTGGTATCAAAGCCTAGTAACCTTGTTACCACATAGGACTGGTATAGGAATGTTCCACACCATATAGCCCAGGGAAGATGGGTGACACTCATGAGCAGAACCTGTCTGCACTCAAGATCATTAGTTTCCCTCTGGTGAGGTTTTTTTTTTGTTTGTTTGTTTTGTTTTTTTTAGTGATAAATAACTTGGTAGTGGCACAAGAGTGGCACCCAGTGGCATAGCTAAAAACTACAAGATCAATGATGAAAGGTCAAGTTCTTTTACCTCTAGACCAGTCCCAGTTTCCATTTTTAAACAGAATAGAATAGCTGACCTCTTGAATAATAGAGAATAAAACCATCCATTATATTTTTGTTATATGGTTTTATTAAATGGTTTATGGAGAAGTAGAAAAAATGAGAAAATATGTATTTAGGTTTATAGAATATATTTAGGAAAATGCCATTCCAGGAGTGGAGATTTATAGCCTGGGTGTGAGAACATAGGACAGTGGGCCATGAAAGAGCAGACTAGGCAGTTCTCCAGGGCTAGTGTCATAGATGTGCATAGCGGCTAAGAACATAAACCTATAAACAGGAGCAGTAACAGGGAGGTAGTTTTGTCAGGAAAGGTATTGTTTCTCTTGGGGAATAGACCAGAATTAAATATCTCACAGTGTTAAATCCCAGGAGGTGTGAAGATAGGGTTGTCTCATCTGGGGGAACTGATGAAGGGTGTGCAAGAACTCCTCTAGGGCTGAGAGCTTTATATCTGAGTGTGGGTTATTTCCTTGGTGATACCAGCTTCAGGGTAGTAGAAGGATTTGTCTATTACATGAGACTTTCCAGGCAAGAATGAAGTAAAAGAGTCAAGCTTTCTCTCAAAGAAGAAAAAAATTGGAAGTTTTCTTAGTACTGTTTTTTTTTTTCCACACCACTAGGGCTATCTTTACTCTTCTTTATTCCGTGGAATGTACTTAGAAGTTGAGACTTGATTTAGTAAATAATTTGTGATAATTTTTTATTGAGTTGCAATTCACATACTATAAAATCTACACTTTTTAAAAAGATTTATTCATTTGAAAGAGGAGGAGAGAAAGCATGAGCAGGGGGAGGAGCAGAGGTAGAGAGGGAGGCAGTCTCCCCATTGGGCAACAAGTCTGACCTGGAACTCTGATCCCAGCACCCTGAGATCATGACCTGAGCTGAAGGCAGATGCTTCACCGACTGAGTCACCTAGATGCCCCCAAACCTACCTTTTTATTTTATTTTTTTTTCAAACCTACCTTTTTAAAAAAGATTTTTTTATTCATGAGAGACAGGAAGAGAGAGGCAGAGATATGGCAGAGAGAGAAGCAGGCTCCATGCAGGGAGCCCAACGTGGGACTCCATCCTGGGTCCCCAGGATCATGACCTGGGCCGAAGGTGGCACTAAACTGCTGAGCCACCCAGGCTGCCCTACCATTTAAAATTGTACAGTTCAGTGACTTTAAGTATATTGTGTTATGCAGCACTCACCACTAAATTCCACAATATCCCCATCATGCCAAAAAGAAACCATGTACCTATTTGTAGTCAGTCTCAATTCCCCTTTCTACCATCCCCTGGCAACCACCAGTCTGCTTTCTGTCTCCATGGATTTGCCTATATGGGTATTTCATGTAAATAGAATCACATAATAGGTAGTCTTTTGTTTGTGTCTGACTTCTTTCACTAAGCAAAATGTTTTCAAGATTCATCCATGGTTAAAAAAAAAAAAAGGTTCATTCATCCATGGTGTAGCATGTGACAATGCTTAATTCCTTTTTATGGTTGGATAATATCCTTTTGTATGGATATACCACATTTTTTCTATCCATTCATCAGTTGATGGACATTGTGTTACTTGCACTTTTTGGCAATTATGAATAATGCTGTGAACACTTATGGGTGGACATATGTTTGTAATTTTGGTTATATAGCTAATAGTAGAATTGCTGGGTTATATGATAACTGTTTAACTTTTTTTCTTTTTTTAAAGATTTTTTAAAAAATTTCATTCACTTTTTTTTAATTTTTATTTATTTATGATAGTCACACACAGAGAGAGAGAGAGAGAGAGAGAGAGAGAGAGAGAGAGAGAGAGAGAGGCAGAGACATAGGCAGAGGGAGAAACAGGCTCCATGTACCGGGAGCCCGATGTGGGATTCGATCCCGGGTCTCCAGGATCGCGCCCTGGGCCAAAGGCAGGCGCCAAACTGCTGCGCCACCCAGGGATCCCTCATTCAGTTTTTTTAAAGATTTTATTTATTCATGAGTGAGAGAGAAAATAAGAAACATAGGCAAAGGGAGAAGCAGGCTCCCTGTAGGGAGCCTGATGTGGGATTTAATCCCAGGACCCCAGGATCACAACCTAAGCCAAAAGTAGACCACTGAGCCATGGGGTGCCCCTCTTTTTAAAAGACTTTAAGTAATTTCTGTACCCAACATGGGGCTCGAATTCACAACCCTGAGATCACAAGCCACACAGCTTACCAGCTGAGCCAGCCAGGTGCCTCAATATGTTTTAACTTTTTGAGGAACTTTTTAAAAGATTTCATTCATTTATTTGACAGAGCATGAGAGCACATAAGCAGGGGGAGCAGCAGGCAGAGGGAGAGGGAGAAGGATGTTCCTCGCTGAGCAGGGCGCCTAATGCGGGGCTCAATCCCAGGACCCCAGAATCATGACCGCAGCTGAAGGCAGCCGCTTAACCAGCTGAGCCACCTGGGTGCCCCCTTTTGAGGAACTTTTAAACTCTTTGCTAAACTGGCCACTTTACTTTCCCACCAGCAATGTGTAACAAATGGTTTCAGTTTTTCCACATCTTCGTGGTATTGTCTATTATTACTGTTATTTTATTTACTTGTTTTATTACTATTATTATTACCACCACCATCCTAGTAGGTGTAAAGCGGTTTTGATTTGCATTTCCCTAATGCATAATGATGTTGAGCATCCTTTTGTGGGCTTATTGACCATTTGTATCTCTTCTTTGGAGAAAGGTCTCCAAATCTGATAACCATTTTTAATTAGGCTATTATTTTATTGGTGCCTGAGACTGCAGGTGCCAGGCACTATTGTTGAAGTATAAGACTTCTTTATTCTGGATTCAACACAATTGAATCAGATACGATTTGCAAATATTTTCTCCCATTCCTGGGGGTTGAATTTCTTTATAGTGCCCTTTGAAGCACAAAAGTTTATAATTTTGATGAAGAGGATGTCTATTTTTATGTACTTGTGTTCTTGAAAAACAAGAAGCTAGAATTGGGTTCTGATCTTAGTAAGAAATTTTGTTTCTCTGTCCAAATTGAACCAAGAGTGGCAAGGCTTTGAAAGGCAACAGAGGACCACAAAATGTACCCTGTGGTTTCCCAGGTTTGACTTCAGTCTGTTATAGTTTGAGTACTTACCTATGCAAGACACTATGCTAGCTGTAAAGGGATACAGGCACAGTGAACCTTACCCTTCAAGGAATTTAAAGTATGGAAAATAGGGTGCCTGGGTGGCTCTGTCAGTTAAGTGTTTGACTTTTTTTAAAATTTTTATTTATTTATGATAGTCACACACACACAGAGAGAGAGAGAGAGGCAGAGACATAGGCAGAGGGAGAAGCAGGCTTCATGCACCGGGAGCCTGACGTGGGATTCAATCCCGGGTCTCCAGGATCGCGCCCTGGGCCAAAGGCAGGCGCCAAACCACTGCGCCACCCAGGGATCCCCTTATTTTTTTTTTTATGATAGTCAGAGAGAGAGAGGCAGAGACATAGGCAGAGGGAGAAGCAGGCTCTATGCACCGGGAGCCCGACGTGGGATTCGATCCCAGGTCTCCAGGATCGCGCCCTGGGCCAAAGGCAGGCACCAAACCGCTGCGCCACCCAGGGATCCCCAGGGATCCCTTTTTAAAAAGATTTTATTTATTCATGAGAGACAGAGACACAGGCAGAGGGAGAAGCAGGCTCTATGCAGGGAGCCCGACATGGGACTCAATCCCGGGACTTCAGGATCACACCCTGAGCCAAAGGCAGCGCTAAACCGCTGAGCACCCAAGCGTCCCTACGTATTTGACTCTTTATTTCAGCTCAGGTCATGATCTCAGGGTCCTGGGATCAAGACCTGCATCAGGCTCCACACTGGGTATGAAGTCGGCTTGAGGTTCTGCCCCCCACCAACCCCACTTGGGAGTTCTCTCTACACACACACACACACACACACACACACACACTTTTTTTTAGAAATAATGTGGAAAACAGGCAGATAAAAATGATAAACAAGGGCAGGCAGTGCATCTGCAGAGCCAAAGGAGCAGGGTAGTTGGTAAGCAAGTGACCAGAGTGCAGAGGAGGAAGGAAATGCCTAAAGTGCCTGGGATGAGCTGCAAATGCTCTGACGAGGAAGCCTTGATTAGGGCGGGGTAGGAGAACTCCCATGAACCAAGAGGAAGTAGAGTTCCAGGTAAGGGAGGATAGCCCTGTGAGTTCTACAAGCTACCAGGCACTCTCTCTCACTGGGGCTTGTTCATGTTCCTACAAAACTCACGTAGTACTTCTGATTTTTAAAACAGCTACTCCCAGAGAAAAATGCAGAGCAGAGCACAGAGGATGCACATGAAAACAGCAGCCCTGAGCAACTTGCAGGTAAGGCTTCAGCTTTTCAGGTGAATCCAGGACCAACACTCAGAAGTAAAAAATGTTGACTTCAAGCTTTCAAGCTACACCTTCCTCCACAGCAGAATCCTGGGATTTAGTTGGCTCCCACCACCACTTTGGGTGTTCTCGGACAGCGGTGGGGGAAGGGCATTCCCTCCCCAAAGCTGGTATGATAGAAATAGAAATTACTCATAAATTTTGTGCAGTTAAACCTAGTGGCACATGAAGGGGCGGGTCCCTGAATTCAGCTGGTTCCTTTGTGTCTTTTCTCCATCATTACTGCTGGTACTGCAGCTCTCCCTAATTTTGGTTACTCCTCTGGGGCTCTGGAGGCTACTCCTGGGCACAGAGCACCACCTCAACTTTGATGTATATTACAGGGAGTTGTTGCGTGTGATGTTGGTGATTATATTGGTCTTTCCACCCTCCCTCCAACACTTACACAGTGGCAGAAGGTGTGTATATGGCTGGAAATAATCACAGCCACTGGTGCTTGAGCCTGAGAGTCCAGGTGTCAGGCACTATTCAAAGGTTTTCATGATTTTTAAAAAGATTTATTTATTTTGGAGGGAAAATGTGAGCATGAGCACATGGGGTGGGGCAGAGAAACTTAAGCAGACTCCCCACTGAGCACAAAGCCCAATGTGGGGCTCAATCTCATGACTCTGAGATCATGACCAGAGCTGAAATCAAGAATCAGACGCTTAACTGAGCCACCAACGTGCCCCGATTCTGAGCTTTTAAAATGGAGTAATGCTCTTAATTCTCAAAACAATCCTATGAGGTAGTGTTACTATTCTTATTTTATAGGTAAGGAAACTATTGTCAGTAAAATTACTGGAGGTCACGCAGGGAGTAAGTGGAGAGCCAGAGTTCAAACCCACGTGGCCTAGCTCCAATCTGTCTTCACACAGCCAAGACTACTAGGGATGCATTGTCAAAACTACGTGGACTTGAGGGAATTTGGGGACTGATTCTAGCACCCATACTTTGTTGGTAAAATTCCTCTTTCCAGGGTCACAACTACAACATGCTGCATGTTGTCCAGACTAGGCCTAAGAGGTGTTCCTGAATCATTCTGTCAGTTGAACCTGTTTTAAATGTGGTAGGGGCTGTTGATACTGAAAAGAACTCTGCAGTGAAGGCTTGTATAAAGCAAAGAATCTATTTTTATAAATAGAGATTTGGAGATTTAAAAGAATGGATGTATACCACATACAATTCAGTATTTATGCAGCAAAGAGTATAAAAAAATACTTTTTTAAAAGGAAGAACTTCGTATTTTATCCATCACCTGCTGTGGACCCAGGGGAGGGGATGCTAAACTTGTCCACAGTGACCACTGTGACAGTGCCCCCCTTTCACAAGAGACCACCAGGCTCAGAGGTTGCTTTGCAGGAAAATAATTTCATATGCTGTCTCTATGTACAATATAAGCCTTAAAACCTAGGCATTTATAATCTGGTAGAACCACTGGAAGACTGCTTGAGCTGCTCTGCTTTACAAAGCTGCAGCTCTAGTCACCATCAATTCTATGTCCCATGTCCCCACAGTTCTGCTAAAGAAAATAAGTTAGATGATGCCACCATGCATCCATGGTCTGTTCACTCAGGAGCCTTTAGCCATCAGTCCTTTACATCATCTTCCTCGCCTTCTTGTCAGCGGCTACTCCATTCTTTAAAATATCTACCCAGACTCTGCCTACTGACTTCGTGCCCAAACTGTGTCCGCGTGGCATTAGCCCTACTGCTTTCTCAGGACCTACTTGCATCACCACCATTTCTGCACCTTTAGTTTCTCTTCCGAGTTCTGTCCCCTCAGCAGGGCAATCCCTTGTTACTTAAAGAGGAAATATCCCATGATCTTGAACTACTTCTCTTTCTCTCCATCACATCTCAGCCATGGTTCTCAAAACAAGCTGTTTCCTCTCCTTTTTTCCTCCCATTCTCTAATTCTTCTTTTAAAAAAATTTATTTGAGAAGCATACAAGTGAGAGAGAGCATGAGGTGGAGGAGGGGCAGAAAGAGAGGAAGAAGCAGGCACCCTGCTGAGCAGGGAGCTCAATGCAGGACTTGATCTCATGACTCTGGGATCATGACTTGAGCTGAAGGCTTAACCGACTGAGCCACCCAGGTGCCCCCCAACTTCTAATTCCAACCCAGACACTTGCTTTCTCTGTGGCCTCTGCACTGCAAGGTCTCTTTTGGGAAGACTTCCTAAGTACCAAATTGTATATTTATTTTTACTGTGCCTGAACTATTTATAGAATTCATTCAGCACTGTAAGACTGTGACTCACCTCATTCTCCCCTCTGATCTTTCAACTAGCTTCCTTTGGCCACCCCTCAGCAGTGCTTGTATAGCACTCCTTCCCTAGCTGCTCTCTTCTATCCCAGGCATTGAACCTTGCTCTGGGCTCAAGACTTTCCAGTTGGCATGAACAGCCCAGGCCTCTCTTGAGTGCCAGGTGGGAGATAAATCTGCTTACTAGGCAGCTTCATGTGGAGGTCCCACTGGTACCTCAGTCAGGATTAATAGCACCACTTCCCATCCAGTTTTTCACATCTAAAATGAGATTGATTCAAGATGCCACTCATTCTCATGTATTACACCTAGTCTCGCACCAAGGCCTGTTGATTTGGCCTCAGTTGACCCCTAGGGGTGCCTGTGTCCATTCCTGCTGCCTTCACTCTCCTGAGGTTTTGAGGACTTTCTTTTTTTTTGTCTCTCCTTTCTTTTTCTTTCTCCTTCTCTCTCTTCTTCTTTTTCTCCTTTTCTTTCCTTTTTCTTTCTCTCCTCTCTCTTTCCCTCTTTTTTTTGCTCTCTCCCCTTTCTCCCTTTTTCTCTCCTTTATTTTTCTTTCTCTCCCCCCCCCCTTCCTCTTTCTTTCTGATTTGAGAGAGCAAGAGAGTAGAAGAGCATGTGCCTGCATATGCCCAAACACGTAGTGGGGAGGAGCAGAAGGTGAGGCAGAGAGTCTTAAGCAGACTCCAAACTGAGCACAGAGCCCCATGTGAGGCTTGATCTCATGACTCAGATTAAGAACTGAGCTGAAACCAAGAGTCGGATGCTCAGTCGATTGTACCACCTAGGCATCCCAAGGTCTTCCTATTTCTAATTTGACGCTAAGCTACACCTTTGACATAATAGTCACTCTAAAATAGAAAATTAAAATCTCCAGTGCTTATTAAAATTCTTCAGTTTCTTACAGATAAAAATCCTTTTCTTAGTCTTCTGATTCCTACTAGCCCTTCAGATTCATCTCCTAGGGAGCCCTCCCCCCCATTTTGCATTTTATGCAGGATATTAATTAATGCCTTTGGGTATTTGCCTCTTTCTGCCTGGAATTCCCTTCCTTTCCCTTGTTGGTCTGGCCTATTTCTCTTCCTTTAAAACCCAGCTCTGAGGGCAGCCCCTGTGGCGCAGCAGTTTAGCGCCGCCTGCAGCCTGGGGTGTGATCCTGGAGGCCTGGGATCGAGTCCCACGTCGGGCTCCCTGCATGGAGCCTGTTTCTCCCTCCTCCTGTGTCTGCCTCTCTCTATCGTAAATAAATGTATCTTAAAAAAACAAAACAAAACAGCTCTGACTTCTCCTCGGGGAAACCTTCACCTCTAGGAATGGTTAGCAGCTTTATTCTATGTTCTATCCCTGGGCTTCATACACACTTCTGCATCCCTCTTGGCATTTGCTAGCTTCACCCAGGGAACACCTCATTGAGCTACATTCCCAGGACCTGCTCAAAAAGAATCTATGGATCCTAACTCACTTTAAATTTGCACACGTGCATCAGTTAATAGTAGGGAGAATGCCACTGGGCATTGCTCAAGGCACTGTGAGCTACGAAGGGAGAGGTGATGCTGGCTTTCAGGCAAGGAGGTCAGAGCGTGGCAGGGAGGAGCTGGTTAGTGCAGACTCCACGAGGAATCTGTATGCAGATGAATTGAGTGGATGCGAGCCCCAAGTAAAACTGAAACGATTCTGCAGTCTCAGCCTTAATTCCTAGAGCTGCCAGGTTTTGATTCCGACAGACCTGTTTGAAAGGAATTTGAGGTGGGAGGGCTAAGGGACCAGCTCCTCCCTCTCTCCTGCCCTTGGTGTCTTTCTAGCACAGGGTCGCGGGCGCAAGGTAAGTGGGCTTGTTTTCGTCTAGGGACCGGCGGGCAAGTGGAAAACAAGACACTCAAAAGGGGCAGCCTGCGGCGGGGCATGAAGGAGACGCGGACCTTCCCCTCTGCCAAGGCCTCGAGGCAGTCAGAGGCCGCCGCGTGCCGCACGGAGCCCACAGGGGCAGGGGCCTCCCCGACTTCTGGCGGGAGCAGGGAGAGTCCCGGGGGCGGCCTGGAGGTAACCGGGCGAGGGCCGCGCAGGGGAGGGAAGAAACAGCCGCTGTCGACGGGTCCTCATCCCGGGCTCCCTTTCCTCCCGCAGGACTCGCTCTGGCTGCAGGAGGTCTCCAATCTGTCCGAGTGGCTGAGCCCCGGCCCTGGGCCCTAAGTGCCCTCCCGGCGCTTCCACACCTGCCGGGCGGCTGTAGGGGCCGCGTGCTGTCTGTTGTTCAATAAACCAGCTCTGCGTGCGCCGCTTCTGTTTCAGTGTTGGGGGCGAGGGCGGGGGCTGGGTGCCCGCGCTGCCCGATGACGTCACTCGCGCGTCCGGCAGGGCACGGGTCGAGCGGCGGCGGGACGCGTCATTGGTGCGCGCCGCGGGTCCGGGCGCGATGGCGGCGCTGGGCGGGGATGGGCTGCGCCTGCTGTCGGTATCGCGGCCGGAGCGGCAACCCGAGTCGGCGGCCCTGGGCGGTCCAGGCCCTGGGCTGTGCTGCTGGGTGTCAGTGTTCTCCTGTCTCAGCCTCGCCTGCTCCTACGTGGGCAGCCTCTACGTCTGGAAGAGCGAGCTGCCCAGGTGCGGGGGCTGCGCGCGCGGCCAGAACCCGCGCCTCCGCGAGGCGGGGCTGTGGGCGGAGCTTGGGCGGACTGGGGGCGGGGCCGCGCTGTCCAGAGTCTGTGGGGCCCCCAGAACTTACTGCTCCCTCCGTAGGGACCACCCTGCCGTTATCAAGCGGCGCTTCACTAGCGTCTTGGTGGTGTCCAGTCTCTCGCCCCTCTGCGTGCTACTTTGGAGAGAACTCACAGGCATCCAGGTGCGAAGGAGGCGGGGCAGAGGGCAAGAGGGGGAGGATCTCAGGGGTCTTTTAGAAGAGAGCAAGACTGATGCCTCCTTTCCTGTGGCTCAGCCAGGCACATCCCTGCTCACCCTGATGGGCTTCAGGCTGGAGGGCATTTTCCCAGCAGCACTGCTGCCCTTGCTGCTGACCATGGTGAGTGCTCGTTTTATTTTTCTCCTTATTAGCATGGTTTCTGTCCATGGCCTTTTTTTTTTTTTTTTTTTAATCCTCATTGTGCCTATCTTTTGACTGATGGGCAACAGAAATTGTGAGATGGTCCTTGGCTGTTGGTTATACATGGGTGGGAGATCTTCGCTGAGAACAGGAAGCTTGAAATCTCATGAGGCTTTTGCTGGGCAAGGGTAGTGGATTTTGGCTTAAGCCTTTCCTTTGATCGCTTGTTTTTCTATTCCCAGATCCTTTTCCTGGGCCCACTAATGCAGCTCTCTATGGATTGTCCATGTGACCTGGCAGATGGCTTGAAGGTTGTCTTAGGTGAGTCCTTAGGGCTTAGGGAGAAAGGCACAGGCTGCCCAGCACAGTGGAGCAAGAGAATAAGTGGGCTCATGGTGAGACTTAGATTTGAGATGTATGAGTTACTCTTCGTTTCCTTATCAGTAAGATGGGAGCATGTAGCAGACAGCCTGTAAGAGTTGCTTTGACAGGCCCCTAGGAATCCCCAGCAGTACTTTGTGTGGACTGATGAAAGTTGCTTTCTCTTTTAATATTTGGCTTCTTCAAACCAGAGCTGGTCTTGAATTATGATTTTGACGTTTCCAGAATTTACTACCAGAATATCCTGCCTTAGCTACTAATACTTTTCCTTTCAGCCCTCTTAAAACATTGTTTTACGCTTTGTGTGATAACAAAGCTTGACTCTTATCTGTTCTCAGGAGCATTGATGCCTAATCTTAGTTTGGCTAAGGAAAGATTGTGGGAGAGGGACCCTTGGAGACTCTAGGATCTTTTTGTTCAATAGCTAGTCACTAATTCTTGGTCCTGAATCCCCAAACCTTCAGCCCCTCGCTCCTGGGCCCGCTGCCTCACAGACATGCGTTGGCTGCGGAACCAAGTGATCGCACCCCTGACAGAGGAACTGGTATTCCGGGCCTGCATGCTGCCCATGTTAGCACCATGCACGGGCCTGGGCCCTGCCGTGTTCACCTGCCCACTCTTCTTTGGAGTTGGTGAGTTTGTCTAACGTGGTCCTTTTGAGATGTTCCCAGCATGAGCGAAAAATGGGGTTTGGAGCAAGGGCGTGGCCTATAAAGTAGGCATGAAAAATGTGACATGGTTCTTGCCTTTCTCGCAGCCCATTTTCACCACATTTTTGAACAGCTTCGTTTCCGCCAGAGCAGTGTGGGGAGCATCTTCTTGTCTGCAGGTGAGTCCTAGAAAGCTTGCTTGGGGCAGTCCTGGGTTGGGGTGTGTAAGGGTGTCCCCAATAGCCATTCTGGAGGAAGACTTGGGGACAGAGGGCTCTAGTACCGGAAGGGCCCCTGGCCGTGGGAGTTGGGGTGTAGAGGACAGCCATAGGTGCTGGGGCAGGCAGCCACTGCCCTCAGGGGGAAGGGGATGTCTCTGGCTGATGGGTGTGCAGTGTTGGGGCAGAAGAGCATACAGGTGTGGTCACTCGAGGCCTCCCCGTCTCCAGCGTTCCAGTTCTCCTACACAGCTGTCTTCGGTGCCTACACTGCTTTCCTCTTCATCCGCACAGGTTGGTCCTCAGTCTCTCACGGGTCCCCCTGGGGGCTCAGGGGTCCACAGGAGAGGGTGGGAGAATGGGAATGCTGTGTTTGTTATAGGAGTGACAAGTTTCTTCTACTTTGGTCTTTGAGACAGAGCCAGGGCTTTCGGTCTGGTGAGGTCTGAGAGATGGAAGGGAGCAGGGGCCATATGGTGTGTGTGGGTAGTCCTTGATCTATTTCAGGGATATGGGTGATTAGCCCTGGGAGGTGGTGGGGATGCTCCATGAGCTGCTCTGTCTCCCCTCCCTAGGACACCTGATTGGGCCAGTTCTTTGCCACTCCTTCTGCAATTACATGGGCTTTCCTGCTGTATGTGCGGCCCTGGAGCATCCGCAGAGACGGCCCCTGCTGGCAGGCTATGCTCTGGGTGTGGGACTCTTCCTGCTTCTGCTCCAGCCCCTCACGGACCCCAAACTCTACGGCAGCCTTCCCCTTTGTGTGCTTTTGGAGCGAGCAGGGGACTCAGAGGCTCCCTTGTGCTCCTGACCCATGCTCCTGTACATGCTCCTATGAACTCTCACGGGCTCCCCAGCCCCTCCCCATCAAGGGGTACTGCAGAGGGGAGGAGCTGGCTGGGGTCCCCGAGATCTCAGGAATTTTTGTAGGGGATTGAAGCCAGAGCTAGTTGAATCCCAGGGACCAAGAGAAAGGAGCAGATATCCAAAGGGTGCAGCCCTTCTCCAAAGGAGGTTGAGGAGCAGCTGGCAGGGGACAAGGGGCAGGTCCTAGGAGCCGTGCACTCCCTTCCTCACTTTGGACTGCTGCTTTTCTGAGCTCCTCTGCCCCCTTCTGCCTCTGAAAAGCTGCTCGGGGGTGGAATTTACAAAATCCCTCCCCCCAACTTCCCAGGGTTTTCTCATTGTCTTTTTGCATCAGGACTTTGTATTGAGATATTAAAGAGATTTAACTTGGGTAACATGGCCTTGGACCTTTGGGAATCGATCTACTTGGGGTGTTGTGAGTGTGCCTGCCACCTGTCTTGGCTACCTTGTACACTACCCTCTGGGAAGTTCAACTTGGTAGACATAGTTCCCTGAAGTAAAGGATAGGATGGGGTCCTCTGGCTGCCTTGGGTCTGTAGCTTTCTCCTCTCTTAGCCACACCCCAACTCCTGGCACAGGTGGGCCTGGGACTGCAGGTGCCAGGTGTGAGCTCAGCACAACCTAGCACCTGTGTCTTGGCTACCAGAGTCAGGGAATGAAACCTAGGCCCGGACCCCAGTGATGGAACCTCCAGCCTCCAAGGGGTAGAGGGTTGACTGTGGGGCCTCCACCAGGACCTCCCCAAAGTCTACCAGCCTCAGGTTGCACAAGCAAGAATAAACATTCAAAATGGTAAAGGAACCAGCTCAGAGTCACCTGGGAGTAGAAGCTTTTCTGCTTGGACCTCTGCCACTGTGCTGCTAGTCTGGTCCCTAGAGGAGCTCAGAGCAAAGGCTGCAGCCCTGAGAGTAGCAAGGACCCTGCTGAGCAGCACTGGAACTCAGGGTTCTTTCTTAGAACTCTCTAGTTCCTTCCTCTTGATTTTAGAATGGTTTCCATATTTTTATTACCCTGCCCCTGGGTCTTAACTTTTTTAAAAGAATATTATACTCTCAGTTCCCACTCTAAACTGAAAGAGGCTGTCCCTAGTCCCATCCCCTGAGGCTGGTGGTTGAAAGGAAATGGAAGTGCAGTCGCTCCCCAGGGTACCCCCAATTTGGCTGTGACTACACTACATGCACCTGGATCTAAAAGGTCATCATGATAGTCACACACCTACCTTGCTATGGAGAGCTTTCTTGTCTTCCACCTGTGTAGCATCTGGGGAGGTAGAGGGGGTGAGCATGGGCCTGTTTTAGAGTGTACCTTTGGGATCTTGAAGTCCAAAGGGGAGAAAGCCCAAAACCACCCGCAAAGAGCACTGTGCTGGCAGGGTGCTGGGGTGAACTGCCTGCCTGGTCCCCTGGAGATTGTGCTCTACCTCTTCTTCATGCTCCTGCTCAGGAATTACCCAGCACCCCTTTTTCACCTTCCCTGTGGAGTTTGGGGGTGGGCAGCAGTGCAGTGATGCACGCAGGGTTGCTGTCCTGCAGGTGAGGGATTCTCCCTAAGGCTTAGGAATAGGAATGGGCAGGATTAGATCTGGAGACTCAATCCAGTGCTCCTAACCTCCTACTAAAATCCTCACCCACAGGTTCCCACATCCAAGGGTTTTGCCCACCTCCTAGATGTTGGTGCCTGTTTGCATCCAGTCCTGAACTAATGGGGTGGTAGGTTTTCCCTGGTTTTAGGAAGTACAGCAGTATGGTTGGGAAGCAACTCCACTGACAGCTTGAATATGAATGCTCTGCCTCTTACTAGCTGTGGGGTCCTGGACAAGTTATTTAACCTTCCTAGGACTCCATTTCTCTGTCCATAAAATGGATGACTGATGCCTTGAGTTAATGGTGTTAAATGCTTATAACAGCCGAAGCTCTCAGTACAGCTAACTAATTCTGTTAGGGTGTGTATACCATAGGCACTCTGTAGTGGCTGAAACCAAGGCCACTATTCTCCTACTCTCCAAGGAGTTAGATAAAACTAACCTGCCCTTGCTATGGGGAGTCCCAGTAGGCAGCCCTGCCCCTCTGCTGAGTGGAGCAGGGTGGGGGGTTGGGGTACTGCACAGGACCCAGCATAGAGGGCAGGGGAAGCCAGTTTTATTGAGCGAAGTTCTCAGGACTTGGAGCCTAGATCTCCCCCTACGAGGTAGCACCCCTAAACCTGCTCCCCTGGGTCTTAGGCCCACCTACACACCATCACCTGCAGTCTCCAACAAGGAGAGGAATCTTGTTTGGCAAGAGATGACTATGTGAGCAGCTGTCCAGCAGGGAAAGACAAATGGCTGGAGGAAAGGAATGTGCCACAGCAGGCAGTGTTTCTCCTGCCACAAGCAGCTGAGGACAGGAGCTCCAGGGCTAAGCCTTTCTGCTCTCAGGCATGGGCTGGCCTGGGCCTGCCCTGGCAGCACAGTGTCTATTGAAGGCTTGGGGTGGGGATGGCCAGGCTGCCAATCTGGGGCAAGATCACTCAATCTCCAGGATGAGGTCATCGCCCTCCAGTGTCATGTCTGTGGTTACGTGGACCTTGCGGACAGTGCCCTCCATGGGTGAAGTCACCACAGTCTCCATCTTCATGGCACTGAGCACACAGAGGGGCTGGCCCTTGGCCACCTTGGCCCCAGCTGCCACCTTAATGTCTATCACCTTCCCAGGCATGGGTGCCCCAATCTGGCCCTTCACATCCTTCAGGGCCTTGGGGTGGAAGTGCATTTCCTGTAGACAAGACAAGAGGGGGAGAGACATGAGGCATCGGCCCTACCTGTCCCCACCACCTGGCTGGCCCTAGGAGGGGCTGTACCTTCATGGCCTGAGTGTCCTTGACCAGAATGGACCGCAGCTGTCCATTGAGCTCAAAGAAGACCTGCCTCTGGCCAGCCCGGTTCAGGTCACTTATGGCCAGAGCCTTGATGTGCAGTGTCTTGCCCCGCTCCAGCTCCACCTGCAAGGAGGGCACGGAAACTCAGAGCCAGGGGTCAGGGGCAATAAAACACACCAAGTCTGGGTAGAGCAGCCCCCCAACCCAGTCCCAGGCAAGTCCCTCAACCCTGGATCTCAGCTCTTCACTTGTGAAGGCCTAGCCTCCTCATCTCTCAAGGGTTTTTTGGGCACCGACAGCTTGTGAGGCAAGGTGACAGCCAAGCCAAAGCCTGGAGCTCTAGCTGTGCTAGTGTCCTTAGGGATGCAGGGGTAGGGCTGGGGGGGGGGGGGGAGTGTAGATAGGGGCCAGAGCCACTCACCTCAAACTCCTCTGCAATTTTGGGTCCCTGCAGGAAGAGGCGGGTATTGAGGCTATCCAGGGGGCCAAAGGTAGCTGTGAAGTCCTTGAAGTGGGCAAAGACGTCTGGATATATGGCTGCTGAGAGCACATCTTCTGGGGTCACCTCCTCCCCATGCCGTTCAGTCAGCTCCTTCTCCAGCAGCTGCAGATCCAGTGGGGGGAGGGAGGCTCCAGGCCGCCCTTCTACCCTTGGCAGGTCCTTTAGCACCTGGGGAGCAAAGCAGAGGGTCAGGCCTGATGCCTGCACCCAGTCTCCACCCTCAGGCTGTGCTGGGCCTTCCTACCTTAGAGCGAAGGGGCTCAGGGAACCCCCCGTGGGGAATGCCAATGTAGCCCTGCAGGAACTCCACCACGGAACGGGGGAAGGACAATTCTTCTGCCTGGGCTTCAGCCTCTGCCCGGCTCAGCCCATTCTGTACCATGAACTGGGCCAGGTCCCCCACGATCTTGGAGGACGGGGTCACCTGAGAAGAAAAGCCCCAGGTTGGGATGCTTGGCATCTTATGGAGGCCCAGAGGCAGGGATAAGGGCACTGGGCTCACCTTGATGAGATCGCCCAGCATCTGGTTGGCCTCCACATAGGCCTTCTTGACTTCCTTGAACTTGGAGCCAAGCCCCATGCTGTGTGCCTGGAAGTGCAGATTGGTGTACTGGCCCCCTGGGATCTCGTTCTCATACACGTCCGAATTGCCAGACTTCATGGTGGCCGTGCAGTCAAAGGCCGCATACAATCCCCGGGCCCCCTCCCAGTACTCACTGTAGTCAAACACACGTTCCAGGGGCACCCCTGCAGGGAGGCCAGGAGAATATGCTAAGTTCCCAGGTGTTCCTCCTCCCAGGACCCCAGAGCCAGCTTAGGTCCCATCTTGGATGTGGGTGATAGAAGACAAAGTCAGGAAAGCTCATCTGGATTCAAGCATAGGCCAGACTCTACTAGAACTAATAAGGTCCACAGCTGTGAGGGAAGTGGCTATGGACTCCCGCTGTTCTTACCTGTGTCCAGGGGAGTCCCTCGGGTGCAGGCCACCAGGGCCCCCATGCTGGGCTGTGAAGTCATCCCGGACATGGAGTCAGATGCCACATCTACCACATCAGCCCCAGCCTGGGCACAGGCCAACATAGCTGCCACACCTGCCCCTGATGTGTCATGGGTGTGGATGTGCAGTGGAAGGTCGGGGAACCGGTCCCTGAGGGAGCTGACCAGCATGGTGCAGGCTGTAGGCTTTAGCAGCCCTGCCATGTCCTGGGGCAAGAAGGAAAGAAAAAGGCTGGTAAGGAGGGGGTGTGATGGAGAGACAGGCTGGGGGTGGGGTGGGAAGGAGAGATGAGTAAGGGGCAAGGGGGAATCCCAGGATGAGGGGAAGGTCCAGGCACCTTGATACACAGGATATGGGTGCCAGCTTGCACCAGCTCTTCCGCCAAGCCCATGTAGTACTGCAGTGAGTATTTGGTGCGGTTGGGGTCGGCCACGTCACCAGTGTAGGAGATGGCAGCCTCCACCACGCCACCAGCATTGCCTGCAGCCTCCATGCCCAGTAGCAGATTTGGCATGTAGTTGAGGGAGTCAAAAACCCGGAAGACGTCCATGCCATTCTCCTTGGCTACCTCACAGAACCTGAGTGGGTAGGAGAGCGCACCCTTCCGATAAGGGTCAACCCCATCCCACTCCCTCCTGCACATCCCTCTCTGGCTCTGGCCTGGCAGGGGGTTTGGCACCCCAAGGTGGAAAAGGCCTTCTCTGGGGCAACCTGGCTGGGCAGAGCCCCCCTAGAGGCATTGGGCATCCAGCAGAGCTGCCCTGCCCTAGTCACGTACAGTGTAGTTAGTCGGCCCGGGTCAGAAAAATCAGCTGGGGAGTCTGCAAGAGTGGCAGTCTGAGGGAAAAGGAGCACTGAACAAAGGAGTCCTGAGGTCTCCACTGCCCCCGTGAGCTAGAAGTCCTTCCAGTTCTTCTATGATTCTGCACTCCATGAAATTTCCAGATAGCCGCCCTTTCTGGGTACAGCTAGGAGGCTTGATGTCAAGCCCTCCATGGGGACCACAGGCCATCTCACTGTGGCCCAGCACCCGACCACGCAGTACAGTGCCCACCCGACCCCAGGCTCACTTGAACACCACATTGTCAGGGTAGTTGGTGTAGCCCACAGCATTGGCCCCCCGCAGCAGCATCTGAAACGGGATGTTGGGGATGAGCTCCCGGAGCTCCTGCAGTCGCCGCCAGGGGCACTCGTACAGAAAGCGCATGGCAACATCAAACGTGGCTCCTGCACAGGGACCGAGAAGTCCAGGTCAGCCCTCGCTTCCCTGGGACTCCACCACACCCTGCAGCTCTGCAGCCTAAGCCTCCAGCCCTCGAACCATCCTGTACATATTCAAGATCTCTCACAGTCCTATCCCAATCCTTGAAGACTTCCCTTTGCTGCTCACTCAGGGTAGCTCAGGATCAGTGACCTCTGTGCCCCCTTTCACCTGCCACCAAGTCTCTGTGCTGTAAGTAACAGGCTGGTGGCTGCTCTCTGACCTTGAGCATACCAGGGTCTCAGCTCTGCAACTTCATGCCCAGCACCAGGCCTGCCCAGAGTGGGCACCAGTCATTGCTGAACAAATGAACACCATGCCTTGTTCACTTCTCACTGGTTTCCTCGATGTTAACATCTCCAGCTTCTGGAGTGGCCAGTGGCCACACTGGATACCCAGTGCCTTTCAGGTGCTGTCCCACATTCCCGCCCTCTTCCAGCCTACCTCCCCAGTTCTCTATGCTGAAGAGCTTGCTGAAGTTGTGGGCAACGTAGGGGGCAATCTTTTTGAGATCATGGGTTCGCACACGAGTGGCCAGCAGCGACTGGTGGGCATCCCTGAAGGTTGTGTCCATCAGCAGCAGCCCCTGGTGGTTCCTCACAGCTCGAGCAAAGCCCTCAGGCCCCTCCCGCAGCAGGATGTCTCTGAAACCAGCTGGGGGTGGGCCTAGGGCAGAACTGGGCATCAGCACTCATCCTTCAGGCAACAACCTCCTCTTTGCGTCTCCAAGTTGGCAGAAGGAATCGCACCTACCTATGGGCACCGCAGGGACAACAGGGTCCGTGGGGCTGGGGCTGGCCTTGACAGGGATTGGGGTGGTTGGTCCATTCACCATGACATGACCTAGAAAGAGAGTGGGTAGTGGGGTCAGGACAGGCTGGGGAGTGTCTGAGGGCAGGAATGACAGTAGATGGGCCTGAGGATAAGGGGTTCCTCCAGGATCCCCACTCCTCCAGCTGGCCCCTGTCCTCTCCAAAGCCAGGGCCTCCTGGGTCCAGGCAGTGGGAACCTACTGAGGGCTGTGTGGGCAGAGGGGGCACCTCTAAGATCAGGAGCAAGGAAGGTGGGCAAGGTGGGAGAGTGAAGCAGAGGTGGTGGGGTGCAGGACCAAAACGAGGGCAGGGACAGTGGGTGCTAGGAAGCTCTTCTAGACAGGGGCCAGGAGGGGAGAGCAGGGCAGTCTGGGGGCCAGACCGAGGTAGTGCAGCAGCTTCTGAGCCCGGTTCTGTGCAGGCCGCAGCTGGAAAAGCTCCGGGTTCTCATCGATGAACTGGGTGTCCACGGTGCCTGCCAGGAACTGCTGGTTGTTGAGCACATTCTGCAGGAAGGGGATGTTGGTCTGCAGGATAGAGGTGGGTGGGAGGGTGTCATGATGTAGCAGGGATGGGGAGAGAAGAGGCTGAAGGGGCCAGCGTGGGCCAGCATAGCTCCCCCACGTTCCCCAGGATACTAGGCTGAGGTCTGAGGCCTCCCTGTGGGATAACCTCCTCACCCACCCCCTATTCTGGCAGAGTCCTGTAAGTTGTTAGGGGGCTGAATCCACTTCCTCCCTCTTGCTCACTCCAGAGCATGTGCCGAATCAGCTCCTCCTTCCTAAGGGATCTGGAAATAAGCACCTCCCCTTCACACAACCTAGAAACTTGGTCAGGCCTTTCCCATAGCACCATGACAAAGTAGCTATGCTCACCTTCCCAGCCATGCTTCTTGACAGATGTCCCCTACCTTTAGCAACCCCCTTTCCTGCAACCCCTCCACTCCCCACAGCCACACTTTGGTACCCTTGCTAAGATCCCTCCTTGTGACTATCTCCTGTGGGCTCTTTCCCACCCTTCACTTGCTAATAGCTCCCACCTAGACCTTCTCACCCTGGGCTTCCAAGACCTCTTGCTCTCCTCCCCAGTCCCCACTGGGGGCTCCTTTAACCCCTGCAGGATGGAGTTCTCAGAGCTGTCACTGGGCCTCCTCCTCACACAGCACATTCTCCCTGGGTGGCCTCATCCTGGGCTTCCAGCTTCAGAGCCAAGACCCTAAAGGAGAAATGCCTCCTGGACACCTCTCCTTGTGTGGCCCTCACCCACCCCGTCAAGTCCAAAGTCCGCTTCCTTCACCCAGTCCTCCTCTGCCTTCTACTGAGTGCCTCACTGTCCATCCAGTTACCCAAACCTACACTCCATTGCCCCCAATACCCACTCCTGTGTCACTGGTCAAGCCAGATGGCTCTACCATGGCCATCTCTAGACTCTATGACCCGTTTCCAGGTCATGCCTTCTGCCACACTTCCAAGTCATGGCCACCTCCAGCCTTGCCAAAGTTGCCTTGTGTTCTCATGCCTCCACTCCTTTGTGCCTGCCTGGGAAGCTCTTCCTGGCAGTCTGAACTTGAAGGCCTTCATCTGTACCTCCCCCTTTTTAGTAGGCTTCTGTGGGGTCAGCTGTTGGAAAGTGCCTCCCTAGGCCTCAGCTTTTGCATGTCTGCCTTCTTCCTACACTTGGGAGCCCTGGGAGCATTGTGCTGCCTTGGGTATCTGTATCTTCCCGTTTTGTACACAAGATCCCTCATTTCTGCTCATTAACTTATTGGATGACAGCATGAAGCTGGAGTGGGCCAAGTCCAACCTAGAGGCCACATGGGGGCCTGGAAGCCGGCACACAGAGATGTCCCGTGACTGCCAGGCCACGTGGGTGGGATTCCAGCATGCAATGTGCCTGTGAGCACATGGCTGTCACTTCAGATAAGGCACCTCCATGTCACCCATTTATGACCTCTGTTGGCAACTTCAACAGGTACTCCAGGCCCTGCATGGGCTGAGGAGCCCTGCCGCTACTCAGAAATTCTACCTGCCCCCCCCACCTTGGGTTCCTGTCACCTGGAGGCCCAGATGGGAAGGTTGTCTCCCCCACAGTCATTGCAGACCCAGCCAACATTGCCTCATGCCACTGGTGTGACAGATATGCCTATCTGTCCCTGAAACTAGTGGCTGCCCCTCCTAAAAAAGAGATGGATACATTTCAACTGGACCAAAGCATGGCATCTGAAGAGATAAACTCAATTAAGCCATCTAAAGAACCTGGGACGGCACAGGGATAAGAGGCATTCTCAGAGGCCTCCCCTCTTCCACCCTACATTTCCCATTTGTAGGCCCCCCTCCCCCTTTGTAACTCTGTGGGGGATGGGTGGTCCTTATGTACTGTGAGCTGGATGCCAGCAGGAACCAGGCCCATCTGGTTCCTCAAGTACCCTAACTCCCAGCACAGAGCCCCTTGTGAAGGATGCTAGTAGATTTGTATGTTTAGAATGAAACATCTGGAAGGTGAAATGAGGAACAAAGATAGCCCATGCTACTGAGCACCAGAGTGGACCTGGGCTGGAATTCAGTGCCTTCATTTTACAAATCCAACAGCTGAGGCCCAGGGGGTGGCAACAGTTAAGAACAGCTTTCAGCTGACAGGTGGCTGCGCCCCTCACGGGCCACATCTCTACTCTCGGCCCTAGGAGGTAAGTGTATATGCAATTAATACTCCTTGGCCAAGATGGGTAGTGTTTCAGTGGTTAAATAACTTGCCCAAGGTTACCTACTCTACCAGGCAGAATCAGAATTCCATGTTTCCCAGGGGGCTGGCCTACCCGGCCCCTAGGAATCATGTCTGAAAGGAAGAGAAAGGGACGGGAGTCGGGGGTGTCCAGGTGGCCTAAGGACTAGAAGATACTTGGAGAAAGTGGTGACTTCCCGTTTCCCAACGGCCGAAGGGCGCAACCTGGGTCCGAGCACTCAGCGCGCCCACCCAAGCCCCGACGACCGGAGGCAGGGGGGAAGCGGGGATCTCAACCCCCACCGGGAGCCCTTTCTCGCAGCCCAGACGAGCTCACCCTGGGCCGCTCTCCCAGAGAAATGGCCCGACCGGGGCAGAAGGGGGAGGGAGGGGCTGCCGGCTCGGCGAGGACCACTGACGCACAGCTTCAAACAGCGTGCCACCGCCGGCCTGCTGGGAAACGGCGCCGCGCAGACCAATCCGGCCGGAGGCAGAGACCGGTTGGCTCCCGAGCGCACCGGGCGGGGCAGGGAGCCCGGGAAGGGAAGGGAGGGGCGGGGCACGGCGCCAGCCGGGAGGCCGAGCCCTCTCTGCCCCACCCCGCAGCAGGCCTGCCGGGGGCGTCGCCCCAGCCCCTCACCCCCACCCCAGACCCCTTGCCTGTTGGGGACCCTCCACGTGACTCGGTGATGCAGAACGGTTATGACCTTCAGCGTGTGTCTGTGAGGGTCCCAACAACAGTGCGGGTTTGCGCCCGGCCCTGTCTGTGGGTGCGGGGACTTGTGGGTGTGTGGGCATGTGCGGGTGTGCTGGGGAGGGTGCCCAGCGACATGTGACACAGGCTCCCGTCTCTGGGAGATGGTGAAGGGGCCCGCGAGCTGGCGCTTTGTCTGGCTGTCTGCAGAGTGACGGTTCGCGCGGCGGCGGCGGGCGCCCGTGCGGTGCAGGATGCCGGGGCGCCAGGGTGGCCGGGGGCGCGCGCGCCTGTGCCAGGGTGAGTGCGCTGCGGCAGCGCCGGGGGACTGCGCGGCGGGCCCGCGCCGGCCCGGGCCTCGGGCGTGACCAGGAGCTACCCGTGGGCGCTGCAGTGGCCGCGTGTCCCCGTGACCTCGGGAGCCAGCCGGCCCGGGTGGATCCCCGTGCGCCCCTCCCTGTCCGCCCTCCACGTGCGTGTCCGCGGAGCGCGTGCTCGCCGGCGCGCACCCGCCTGCCTGTCGCCGCCACCGCCGCCGCGAGCCGCCGGGAAAAGGTGCCGGGAACCGAGTGAGCCGGGGCCGCGGGCCCGAGCGCCATGGGCAGGAGGGCGCGCGGCGGGCGGCCGGTCAGCCCCTGGCCTCGCCCCCGCGGGAGAGCGGCCTGGAGTCGGCGGGGGCTGGCCAGGCCCGCGGGGAGGCCGGCCCGCGCCCCCTGAGCTACAGACACCAGGTGAGGGGGCCGCGGGGCACAGCAGCGGTGGATGGCCAGGGAGGGGCGACGGGAGGGGCTTGGGGGGGCGCCTTCCCCGGCGGGGGAGGGGATGGCGCGGAGGGAGGGGGCTGGCGGTTCCTGGAGACGCCAGAGAAAGGAAGTTCCGGGACCCTCCCTGCTCTAGTGTCCACCTCCGCTTCCTGCCTCATGCTGCACCCCATCCCCAGAGCCAGGACACCCCTACCGGCTTGGGAAATGTGACCTTTACTCTGGGGGGGGGGGCCTGGCCCTGCAGGCCCCGACCTTCTTTCAGCCCTGGGGGGCCCCTCGGGCCTCTGACCCTGACCCCCACGTGGTCCAGACTCTGGAAGCTGGCCCTTGGGACTGGGCCACGGGCACAGCCAACACCTGTCCCAGCCCCACCTGTGCCTGGGGCCCTGGCCCTTCCCTACAGGGCACTCACCATGGCCCCGCCACTCCTGCTGCTGCTGCTGGCCAGTGGAGCGGCCGCCTGCCCCCTGCCCTGTGTCTGCCAGAACCTTTCCGAATCGCTCAGCACCCTCTGTGCCCACCGAGGCCTGCTGTTTGTGCCACCCAACGTGGACCGGCGCACAGTGGAGTTGCGGCTGGCTGACAACTTCATCCAGGCCTTGGGGCCACCAGACTTTCGAAACATGACAGGGTTGGTGGACCTGACGCTGTCCCGAAACGCCATCACCCGCATCGGGGCCCGCGCTTTTGGGGACCTGGAAAGCCTGCGCTCCCTGCACCTGGATGGCAACAGGCTGGTGGAGCTGGGTGCCGGCAGCCTACGGGGCCCTGTCAACCTGCAGCACCTCATCCTCAGTGGCAACCAGCTGGGCCGCATCTCACCTGGGGCCTTCGATGACTTCCTGGACAGCCTAGAGGACCTGGACTTGTCCTACAACAACCTGCGGCAGGTTCCCTGGGCCGGAATCGGTGCCATGCCTGCCCTGCACACCCTCAACCTGGACCACAACCTCATCGATGCACTGCCCCCGGGTGCCTTTGCACAGCTCGGCCAGCTCTCCCGTCTTGACCTCACCTCCAACCGCCTGGCCACGCTGGCACCCGACCCGCTCTTTTCCCGGGGGCGCGACGCAGAGGCCTCGCCTGCCCCCCTGGTGCTGAGCTTCAGCGGGAACCCCCTGCACTGCAACTGCGAGCTGCTGTGGCTGCGGCGGCTGGCCCGGCCTGACGACCTAGAGACGTGCGCCTCCCCTCCAGGCCTGGCTGGCCGCTACTTCTGGGCAGTGCCCGAGGGCGAGTTCTCCTGTGAGCCTCCCCTCATTGCCCGCCACACACAGCGCCTCTGGGTGCTGGAGGGCCAGCGGGCCACGCTGCGGTGCCGGGCCCTTGGCGACCCTGCGCCCACCATGCACTGGGTTGGCCCCGATGACCGGCTGGTTGGCAACTCCTCTCGAGCCCGGGCTTTCCCCAACGGGACCCTGGAGATTGGGGTGACAGGCTCTGGGGACGCAGGGGGCTACACGTGCATTGCCACCAACCCTGCTGGTGAGGCCACAGCCCACGTAGAGCTACGAGTGCTGGCCCTGCCCCATGGTGGGAATGGCAGCACTGAGGGGGGCCGCCCTGGGCCCTCGGACATTGCTGCCTCAGCCCGCACCGCTGCTGAGGGCGAGGGGACACTCGAGTCTGAGCCGGCTGTGCAGGTGACGGAGGTGACTGCCACCTCAGGGCTTGTGAGCTGGGGGCCGGGGCGGCCAGCAGACCCTGTGTGGATGTTCCAAATCCAGTATAACAGCAGCGAGGACGAGACCCTCATCTACCGGTGAGGATGCACTTTGCAGCCTGCAGCCCCTGCTTCACTCCCAGCTGCCCCTCCTCACCCCTCCCGGACTCAGCCACCTCCATTCACCCCTCCTCAGCTTCTGAGCTGCCTGCAGGGAGAGGGGAGGGGCAGGCACCAGGGAGAGGTGGGAAGTGCCCCATGAAGTCTCTTGGTGTGGCTAAGCAAGAACTGGCTTCCTGGCATCTGGTCTCTGCATTTAAGCACACCAGCCTGGGCCACACATACGTGTGTTCTTTCTGGCTCTGACAACGTGACTCTCCACCACCTCCCTGGCTTGCCCTGGGCTTGTGCATCAACACATATGCCTGCCTGTCCCCTTGCACTGTCCCCAGCTGCACACATGCATGCCTGTCTTGGCTTCTCTGCCTTCTTGAGTAAACAGACAAGGCCCATGTGGTCCTAGGGGAGAGGAGTGATCTGAGCTGGACCTGGGAGCATGCAGTGAAGGTGGGAGGTGTGCAGTGAAGGGGTGTGAGCTGGGGCCAGAGCCTGGACCCAGGCTCTGATCACCCACCCTTGCCCACAGGATCGTCCCAGCCTCCAGCCACCACTTCCTGCTGAAGCACCTAGTCCCTGGTGCCGACTATGACCTCTGCCTGCTGGCCCTGTCACCTGCCGCTGGACCTTCCGACCTCACAGCCACGAGGCTGCTGGGCTGTGCCCACTTCTCCACGCTACCGGCTGCACCCCTGTGCCACGCCCTGCAGGCCCATGTGCTGGGCGGGACCCTGACCGTGGCCGTGGGGGGTGTGCTGGTGGCTGCCTTACTGGTCTTCACTGTGGCCTTGCTGGTTCGGGGCCGGGGGGCCGGGAATGGCCGCCTCCCCCTCAAGCTCAGCCACGTCCAATCCCAGACCAATGGAGGCCCCAGCCCCACGCCCAAGGCCCACCCGCCACGGAGCCCACCACCTCGGCCCCAACGCAGCTGCTCCCTGGACCTGGGAGACGCCAGCGGGTGCTACGGTTATGCCAGGCGCCTTGGAGGGGCCTGGGCCCGGAGGAGCCACTCCGTGCATGGGGGGCTGCTCGGGGCTGGGTGCCGGGGGGTGGGGGGCAGCATGGAGCAGCTGGAGGAGAGTGTGGTGTGATGGGAAGGGAGTCAGCCCAGGGTTGGCTGGGGAAGGGGCAGAGGGCATGGGGTGGGCAGCTGCGGGGCCTGGTGGGTCAGCGCTGCCTGGGAATCTCTCCTGATTTTACCCTTGGTACCTCAGGCTCCCTTTGTACTTGGCAGGACAGGGGGCCCTATCCCTGGTTCTGGCCTCCAGACCCGTGTTCTTCCAACAGGTGCTCACAGCCACCAAGGCAGGGGCTGCAGCCACCAAGCAGAAGTCTTGTTTTTCTTTATAATAAAATTGTTGGGTACACCTCAGTGCTAGCCTGTCTCATCCTGCTAGGCTCCCTGAGAGTGGAGGGGAACGCGTGGGCCAGTAGAGGCACACAGGACAGGGTCAGGCCTGGGGCTGCTAGCCCCACAGAGGTGGCCCAAACAGCCTGGGGTGTGTGCCCTCATCCTCATCTGTCTAATGGCCAAGTGCTTGGGGCTGGTACCTCCTGTCCCAGGTGAGCTGGACCAGCACCTAGAGAAGGGGAAGGGCTGTGACTGAGCCTCTGGGCCCTGGGCCTATGTCTGAGGGAAGAGAACACCCCTTCCTGGCAGGACATGGAGGGGATGTGACATCCTCATGGAGGCATGGATGTCATGGTGCACAGAGTGGCAACAGGGGCACAGGGATGTGGCACAGCCCTTCAGGGCAAAAGGGACCTTGTCTGGTAACAGTCTTTTTAACTCAGTAGGAAGGCCCCCATGGCTTCCATCAGGGACAACCTCTTTCACCATCTCTCAGGGCATCTTCTGGATTTGTAAAATGTTATCCTGGAGGGATTGGAATACGCTTGGAATCCCACTGCCCTATCAGCCCAAGACCTTCTGGAAGGTTCATCAGTGCTAGAGGCCCTGAGCTCCCAGCTGCTCCACTGATGCCCTCCACTCCCCATCCTGTGGCTTTGCTCTGTGCTTATCTTGAAAGACTGAGTCAAACCCCTGCTGGACACTGGAGGGGTAAACACTAGGAAGGGGGTGCCCACACCCACAGAGCCATTGCCCTGCTTCTGTTCCCCACCCAGAGGAGCTGGAGTTTGGGGGGAGTGGGCATGCCCTGCTCTGCCTCCTCTCGACCCAAGACCCCTGCCAGCCTCTGGCCCTGGGCACAGGCTCTGCCAGCCTTTGAACAATCATAGCTCCAAGTGTCAGCTGAAGGAAATCCATGCTCCAGACACAAATACTTGCAGATGTGTGGCTCTCCACTGGGCTAGATGCACCCAGATGCTTTAAGAACATGCAGGTGCCTGGGCCCCACTGAGGCACCCCACATCCTATAATGGTGTCCAGGTTGTGGCAGCCACAGTACATGTGCCAAGGGGCGCATGGACATTTCTCTGAGGCCCACCAGGGTTCTAATGGGCAGCCCCGAGGAAAACTGGAACAACAAGTGTGTGTGTGCACACGTGTGCTAGCCAAGCTCACACACTTGTGGGTTTGCACGGTGTTGACATATGTGCGCTTGCCCTCCCAGCCCCAGAACACATACCTGGGTGTGGCTCAAGAGAGATCCTGGTTTAATTAAATGAAACGAGGTCCTAAACAGAATAGCAGGAGAGTGTGGGCCCTCTAAGGGGCTGTAGGGTTAAGGCAGAGGTGGCACAGGGCAGAGGGGAGGGAGGGCCCGTGGTGTGTAAGATGAGAAGGTGCAAGGTGCTGGGTGCAGGAGGCTCTAGAGGTGGCAGGAGCCAGCGGCCTAGTCAGGGTGCACATTTGGGGAGGACTCTGGTGCCCCAAGGAACCAGAAACATGTGTCTCAAGGCTTCCTCCTTGTGAGCCACAGGACTCTGGTCTCCCTTCTCCGCCCTCAGGGCTCTCAGACACTAGGTGTGCAGGAGCCTGCCAGCTGTAGGGCAGGTGAAAGGCCCAGGGGCCCAGGGGCACAAGCACAAGGGCCAGCCGGGCTTACCAGTAAGAACAAGAGCCACAAAGGCAGGCAGGCAGGGCCATGGTGCATACTGGCCACTCGGCCCCCAAAGCACCCCTAAGACACCATGTGGGGAAACCCAAGGCCCCTCAGAGAGCAGCACGTTGAACACATGACGCCACAACACGTCTCTGTACTTGTGCAGAGAATAGCCCCCAGACCAGGAGCCCCGAGGCTTCCCACAGAAGTGCACAGAGATGCCCCAACACCCAGGGAACAGCCATTCCCTCTAAGGTGGGCCAAGGGCCTAAGGAGAGACGGCTGACCAAGCCCTGACCCCACAGGTACGCTTCCTCCCTCCTTCCACACCACGTGCTTCGAGAGGCTTCTGCACCTACCAGGGCTCCTGCCAGGACACACCACATAGCCAGACCAGCAGGTGAGAGGACAGTACTGCCCATATGCCCTGACCTCACCAGCTGAGCCTGGACCCCAGGCAGGACTGGAGGCAGCCGAAAGGAGAAGGTGACACAAGGGGGACATCAGCCAGCACCTCAGCACACACACCCTGCGCCTCTGTGCAGGGCAGGCCAGAGAGGGCATCCTCTGTATTGGGCGCCATCCTTTGGGCACTCCCAGGAGAGGCTGAGGGCTGGTCTGCCCAGAAACCACCCCCATGGTTGGGCCGGGTGGCACAGTCCACTGAGGGCAGAGCCCTCCTTCCTGCTCTTGTGCTGCAGAGTGTCTGCTGACAGCATCTGCCCAGGGGATGCCCACATATATGGAGGCAGGGCTGGCCCTCAAGGCCAAGGCAGTATGTGGCTGTGGCTTCATCTTTAGCTAGAGGGGGCACCGAGGGGCTGACAGCTGACAGCTGGGCTAGGAACGCCCTGAGGGTGGGCGATGTGCCCCACTCTGCCCTTGCTCAGGCCTCCCAGCTGCAGCCTCCCTTCCTCGCTGTCCCAGAAGCACCAACATGATGCTGGTGCCAGGCCAGGGAATGGGAGCTGTGAGGGCAGACAAGGGTCTCATTTTATGCCCAGTGACCTCATCCACACAGGCTTGTGCTCTCACCCAGGGTTTTCCTGGGACTCAGAATTCCTGAGAGCTTGTTCAAAACTGGGGTCTCTACCCCAACATGCGGGATCAGAATTTCCAGAAGGAGGCCTATAATATGTGGATTGAACACAGACTCCATGTGATCTCACCTAAGAAGGGCAAGAAGGAGTGTGGGGCTCCCCGGAACAAGTCTCCTGTCTCTGGCCAAGGGTCCCCTGAGCATCTGATGCCAAGGCCTACTCCCAGGAGGCTGAGGGGCCTGGCACCAGCAGAGGCAGAGCGGTTGGGAGAGTCCCTGTGCAGCAGAGGGACAGAACTGAGTGGGACTGTGAGCGACTAGAAAGCAGGCAAAGCATACAGCCTCTCTCACCTTTACACCTCGGACTCGGAACTCCGCAAGGGCTCTGCTCATCTTGGTGGCAGCCGTGGGGTGGTCTTTGCCATGAGCAATGACTTTGACGAGCAGGGAGTCATAGTGCGGGGAGATGACAGCTCCTTGGAAGGCAGATGCATTATCCAGGCGGATGCCCATGCCCTCTCCGCTCCGGAACACCTGTGGGCACAGGTGAGCAGGGTCAGGAACTGGGTCTTAAGCAGGAGTCAAGATATGCCCCACCCCCACCCCAGGCTGGACAAGGGCGGATGTGGCAGGGGGCCGTTCCTAGCACAGGTGCACCAACTCTGGCTTGTGAAGTTCTGTCTAGTTTTCGCCAACAAAGCCAGGGGTGTACTGCATGCTCTGAGTGCCAGTAACTGCTTCCTTCTCCCTGAGAGCTGGCAGGGGAAGAGGCAAGAGGGGGAACAGGGGAGGCCCTGCTCTTCCCAGTCCCAGGGCTATACGCCCAGAGCTCAGGGCTGACACAGAGCTCAGCAGAGCACAGACAGGGGCCCCGGGCAGGCAGGAGCCAAAGCCCCCAACCTCCCACCCGCCTTCCTGCCTAACCCTCTTGCCTTTCAAATTCATTCATCCCACAGCATTTGTGGGCACCAGGGTGAGCAGCTAAAAGAGAGTCCCTGTCCACAGGGGGCTCCCAGCCTGCTGGGCAAGGCCGTAGACAAACGTACAAATTCAGATTAGTGACAGGGACACTGCAGGGCATGAGCAGGCCAAGGAGGGAAGGCAAGCTGAGGGGTTTTGTTTTAACATATACAGTGAAATGATGAGGAAGGCCTCAGTGTCCCCTCACTTCCCCTCCTTCTAAAGGGGAGAATGGAAGGGAGAGGGAGGAGAGGCAGAGGAAAAGCTGAGAATGGCAAGAGGGGCTGGATGCAGAGTTCTCGGGAGAACAGGTGCATACTCGCATGCGAGAGAGGGAAGCAGGGCAGAAGAGGACAGGTCCCAGAGGCAGATTCGGGGGGTGAAGGGGGGGTTCCAAGTCCAAGGCTAGACAGAGACAGGGTCCTGGGGGGACAGGGGTTTAGGATGTCTGGGGTAACTGGTACACACATGAACATCTGTGACGAGAACAGGGGTGAGTTCCTGCAGGGAGAGCCTTCACCTGGCGCCGGGGGACCCCTGTGAGGCACCAGTGAGGTAGGAGGATGGGGAGTGGGAGGGACAGCCCAAGGGGCTTGGACACCCACTGCACCATGTTTCTGCTTTTAAGGGACACAGGCGTGTGTTCGATAAAAAGGAACTTAATAAAATATTTAAGGGTGAACACTCAGCTGTGAGCAGGAACTGTCAGCTAAAAATATTCTGTGGTAAACCAGGCTCAGAGGAGCCAGGCCTTGGAAGTGGAGGGCAGGAAGGCAGTGGCACGTTGCAGGGCTGCCCCTTCCCCGCTGAGGGCAGAGAAGTCAGGGGCCGGCCCACTAGACAGCACTCCAGCCTTAGCACTTGCCCCCACCTATGGACTTGAATTGTTCCAGAAATGGAATTCCAGTGGCAGCTGTCTCAGGACTCCCAGAATTCTGCAACTTTCAGAATCCAGATATTCCCTTTCCCTTCCCACATCACTTGTTTCTCAGAAGCCCAGTATTTGTCTCAAAATCATCCTGGGCTTCTCCCTGGACCAGAACCTGAGCTCTCGCACATGTCCCACTTCCTTGGAGGCTCAGAC